GCACAACAAGTTACTGAGTTACTATTAATCTTACGTATGTTTATGTGCTACAATATCGACTTGATCTCGCACCGAAAAAGCATTAGTAATGCGGGGGCTTAGATACTCTACCTCATGAAGCTTGGACACTCATCACGGGCGTAGTAGTTCAGAAAGATAGTATTTCTCGACTGTCATGCGTGCGATCGAAGTTAGATTATTATCGAGTGAGTTTGTAGTCGACACTGTGGCACCTATTGATAAGAGCACCAAGATAAAAGGATGGCTCAACCTACCAAGTGGGCCCATCTCACACCACTCCAATTCTGCTGTAGTCAGCTGTTGATCAGAGTAAATTTCTCCGATACGTCCTAATGACTCAGTTGGAGAGCAGTAGGATGAATTTGGCACTACAACAACAGATTTCCTCTATGAGGGTCGGGCAAAGATACACGTCTCATACCCTCAGTCAGAGCATATTGGATCAGGACTTTTGACCAACTCACATGCTGACTATATCGTTATTAGATTTAATTCTGAGTTAGAAAAATTAATTTGAAAAAATGTTTCTTTTGCTTGAACTGACACAATTGTATGCAAACTTAGCAAAATTAACTCCCAATGCTTTAATAGAAGGCATCTGGCTAGTTTCAATAGCTTCAAAAAGCTAAAAGCATGTGTAACTGAATTAACATTCATGTACCTATCTCTAATGGGTCTATCCCATGGGCGGATGTAGGGGATAGCTGTACTGGGCTTTAGCCTAGTGTAGCCTTGGTCCATAAAGAAATTATGCTTGTAAATTTTGTCCAAAAAAAATTATAGCTCGGCCCAAATTTAATGTTAGCCCACTAGCTACCCTATTCAATATTTACCCACTTTAGCCCAACTTAAATGGATCAAGTTTAAATCCAATATTTGTATAACCCATATACCAATTTATCTCCCTCAAACCTGTTGCATCCCTAAGGACCCAAACCCAGCTAACCAAATTCAAAACCCTTACCTACACCCACAGGTTCCATTATTTTTGGAAGCAACCAAAGATCGAGCTCCATTTAGTCTTTATTATTTCTCGCATTTCCAAAATTTGTGAGAATTTTTGAAGATGCTACTCTTTCCATGAACCCTCTAGGTATATTCAATACTTATCTGTATTTGTGCGGCTTTATCTATATATCATATATGTATTTTATACGTGTAGTATAAATCAAGTCATTCAAAAGAAAAATGTATGGATTTAATTATGTTACTGTAGTTTTTGTTTTTATTTTTAAACACATTCTTGGATTGTTACTTGTTGCGGTTTTGAGTTTTAATGTGGGTATGTTTTATTTTTCACATTCTAAAGTTCTAATCATTTTTTTATATGTTTATTAGTGTTTATAGCTTCGTGTCTATGACATTATTTTCCAAGAAGAATATGATTCGGATGGGATTTACCTTGTAAACTAAATCTCGTCGGCGTAAAGCATTTTTTATGGTATGAGTTCATTGAAAAAAAAAAATTAAACTTCGGCCCACCCTAACAACTCTTCCTAGCTCCGCCCCTGGTCTATCCCTAACAGTTGAATACGATTGAACCATAGATAATGATGGCAAAGAAAAATTACCCATATCCTCCAAACTCGACTGAATAGTATTCTTCAATATGGATCCCGAACAAAATCCCAAAGTAGTACCAAACTGAATCTTCACCGCGGTACTGAATCTGTGCTAAATTTTTTTACAAATTCTGCCTCACCTTGCAAGTTGTATAATTGGGACTTCTTCCGCCCCTCTAATACAACACGAACACTCTTCTGAACATTTAAGACTCCACCCCCTCCAGAGAACTGGCACCCTTTTGAATTAAGAGTACTTAGAGCGATGAGATTCTTTTTTAAGTCTGGATTATGTCGAATGTGATCAAGTTTTTTACATGTTTTATCCACCAACTTCAATCCGATTCTACCAATAGCTGCTAATCGATAAGATTCATTGTTACCCATCACAATAATGCCCCGTGCCGTTTCATATATTTCAAACAAATCCTGATTGTGACACATATGAGACGTATAAGCTATATCCAAAATTCACTCCTCGTTAGGTTTGAATTCCATGTCAATTATCGTCAAAATATCTCCACCACTTAAATAGTTCTCGAATATGCTAGTTTCGTCTGAAGTATTTGATTGCTTCTCATAATTTGTAGTCAAATTATTTTTGTTCTATAATTTTTCACAATCCCTCTTAATGTGTCATTTTTTCTTGCAATAATAACAAGCTTGATTACTGAAATTTGACCTCGACTTACCCTTCTTTGATCACCATGCACAATAAGGCATTCTTCATCTCTAATGTCAGAGAAGAAAACAAGGCATCATACGCATCTTCAATGGTGAGAGTATTATGACTATATAGAATCGTGTCTCTAAATGAAGTGGGCAACGGATATAAAAGAATTAAAGCCAAATCTTCTCCATCATATTTTACCTCGAAAGTTTTTGAATCAAGACGATATCTTTGAACATGGCCAGATAATCTTTAAAAGATCTGCCTTTTGCTATGCGATGAGAACACAACCTTTGCTTTAAATGTAATTTGCTTGTCAGACTTTTAGTCATGCGCAATTGCTCCAACTTCAACCACAATGCAACTGCTGTTTTCTTCTTCAAAACGCCTTGAAGAATATTGTCAAATAGATGAAGATGGATTTGTGAAAGTGCCTTTCGATCCTTTCGTTGGTTCTCCTCCGTCGTCCAAGTTATTTACATTTTGTTAAATCCTAACAATGCATTCATCCAAATCCATTTGTACAATCACATCTCGCATCTTCAGTTGTCATAATGAGAATTTTGTATTGCGATCCAAAACTAGAATTTCACACTTCATGGCAATCATCAATAACAAAGACCTCGAACATATCACAACCAATAACTTTGATACCACTTGTTGGGAAATAAAAAGGATGAAGGTAATATATGTGACACGATATGAAGTATAGGATTGCAAACAAACAACAAGATAAAAGACAAAGAATTAACCGACAGAGAAACAAAGTATTTTATTCAATTGATGGCTATGTAAAAAACAAATACAATAACTATACCTACACAATTATTCTATATTTCAGTAATACAAAACTTGTGAAAAGAGTATAGTATTTATAGGGGTGCATGCCAAATCCTAGAAATACCACAAAGATGGAAACAAAATAAAAAAAATGTGGAATTTTTCCTAAAAAATATTTAACCTAATTTGGGCAAAAAAATCTAACACAAAGACAATGGCATATGAATGTAGAAGTACAATTAACAAATTTCAGTTCAAGAAACATCATGCAAAGCACCAGTGACATGTCAAATCATTTAATTGGTGAATAAGTTAACGTTGTTCCCATGTATTTAATGATTCATCAACTAAATGATGTGCCATGTCACCGGTGCTTAACATAAGCTAAGTACTTATGCTTAGGAGATCATTTCTTATATATCTCTAAATTAGCCAAGTATCATGTCAAAAATTTATCTGAACATTTAACAAATCTATCAAATAGATTACTTCAAGTAGCAAACATGGTTCTTGGTGGGGCACAATCAATTGCAATAATTTCAACGTCCAAATGACCGATGCTATGTTGCTTAGATGCAGTTTCAACAAGAAATTTCAACTATGTAATGACTGGTTTATCTAGTTTAATGCTTAATTACAATGTACGTGTAATTATATAAATATATGGCTAAAGCTCACATTCAATTATTATTTTTTGACAAATAGATTAGCCAAACTTAATTCATATATGCACAGAGAGAAAGAGAGAGTGAAAAAAAATAGAATGTAAATTAAAACTTGCCCATTAAATATTTTTCGAGCAGCCACATATAATCGATATACATAGCTATAAATGTAAATTCACAGCATATGCACCTCTTGGGACTTGGTATGCAATGATTTCCTTTGTTTCGGGGTGAACTACTCTCGACCTTCTTTGCAGCTGTGTTCTATGTTGCTTCCATTCACTAAGAAAGAAGAAGGCCTATTGCATCACTTGTGTGATTGAACCTCCTTCTTTAGTCGGAAGACGGACCAGAAGAGAAGTCTGTCTCAATAGTTATAAAATTATATCGATGTTTAAAGCATGAGTCATTCTTCTTCATAAAGATCCAAGTAATTACAGCAAATAGAGACTGAATATACCGTTATTATCTCTTTAATTTTCTTTTATCTAGATCATAACTACACGAAGAATCTCAAAAGAAAAAAAAAAGAATAATTTGAGGATGATGAATTCATCTTTCTCTCTCTCCTTGACAATTACTAAAATTTTCATATGCATAGAATATTGATTTAAGGGTAATTAGCACCAAACATTACCACCTTTTAATGCTATTGTCCAAAATGTCCAAAATGTCCCCACCTTTCATTTTGGACATTTTTGCCTTTATTTCCATTTTTCGTTGTGGAAATCATCATTTTTGTCTATTTTCTCAATTAAAACCTGTGAAATAATAAATATATCTTCCTATTTAAATAAAAAAATAAAGGAAAAGAAAAAAAAAACTAAATGCAGTCATTTCCCAAATTTTCAAAAAAAATTAAAAATGACAAATATATAATTAAAATTCAGAAGTTAAAAAGCACCAAAAACTCCAGCCAACTATTACCTTGGAATCCCATAAACTTCGGATAACCACCACCTAAACTGCTAGACCTCCATACCATTGGACAATCCTCTACACATGCCACCTAGCCACCAGCCCTAACGCTGCTATATTTTGCTGAAATCGATGGCCAAAATCTTCATCACACGCACGTACTATCGCTGTTCGATCTGTCATATGGAGGCCAAATTGATGAAGACCCATGGGTGGAATTGATGCGTTGTGATCAGATGGTGCTGGAATAGGTGGTCTGCTATCATGGGTCCTACCACTGAGGTTAAAAATTGCGACCGAAAGTTGTGTGCTTGTTAATTCGAAAAATTGTAAATTTTGATTGTGTAGATTTGTTTACGTTGCAAGACCATGAGTAAGTGCACCCTATTGAGTATAGTCAACTGTTATGATGGAAAGGGCATGAGTTTCGTCGGAGAATGTGGTGAAGTCAATTTTTGTTTTGACCTGTTGCTGATTTTGGCCATCGATATCAACCAAATTTTGTGGCGTTAGGGTTGGTGGCCGGGTGATATGTGTAGAGGAGAGTGACGACTGTCCAACAGTATGGAGTTTCGGTGGTGGCTGGAGTTTTTGGGATTCAAATGTAGTGGTTTCCTCAAGTTTCTGGTTTTTTGTATTTTTAATTTTTAATTCCATATTTGTGATTTTTTTTTTTTTTAAATTTGAGACTATGATTGCAATTAATTTTTTATTTTATTTTTCTTTTATTTAAATAGGAGGGTATATTCGTCATTTCATAACTTTTAATTGAAAAAATGGATGAAAATAACCATTTCCATAACGAAAGTGAGAATGTCGAAAAATGAAAGATAGGGACATTTTATTCTAATTACCCTTGATTTAATTAAGTCTTTCAATAATAACATTACGATATTCTCAACGAATATTAATACTAAACGTATACTTTTTCAGGAGCAATAAGACAATAATCTACTAGAATATTGTATTGTATAAAATCTTTTTCTTCCGAACTAACAACTTAACACTCAATGTCTCAAATCTTTTAATTTGTGCGTCCTAAGAAGAAGACATTGTATTATTCTTTAATAAACTTATTCTTCCTCAATAATGACGCAATATTCTTCTACATTATTCATATTTATAATTCGTGCTTCTCAATCCACATATATTTTAATAAATATTAATATTTAAAATTGTGCTTTACAAGAGAAACAATATATATATATATATATATATATATATAGGGTTTGAAATAAAAGTTACAATCTGAATAGATAACAGAGTAAGACTTGCATAAGTATCCTAGTAAGGCCAAATGGAAATCAATGATTATTTCAGAAGTTTACAACAGATTATTATTATTATTATTTTTGGCTTCTATTGATTTGCTATATTTGTTCTATTTAATCTTGAGCGATCTTGATTATTCATCACCGCTCTTCTTTGAACTCATTTGTTGCTTGCACGATTTCTGTGGACATAAATCCCAGTAATTACCAAGATCAAGGCCGATAAAGCAACAAGCGAAATGCTAATAATTAAGACGTCTAGACGAATCTCTTTCTTGATTTCTTTGCCTGGATCACCCAAAACTCCTTTTTTCGATGTTGTACTGACCTTGATAAGAGCAACATCTGAGCTATTCTGAAATCTTCTTCCATATCTCAATGGAAGCCTTTGCTTTCGGCAGCTTCTATCTTTTAAGAGAGCTGCATCACAGTTACAGTCCTCTAAACAGGCTTTTCCACAATCTTCTTTAGTCAGTCCTTCTAAAACAGCATAATTAGCATCTTCCCGCACTGTGTTATCCAATGTTTTGATTTCATAGTTGATATTTGGATTACTGGCTTTACAACCTTCCATGGCAAAATTCCTCTCGCATCCTGAGGTCCAATTGCCTGGATTAACATGATCGAATCCCGGGAGACATTCACACTCCGCAACTGTATCCATCTGAATACAAAAACCATTCAACCCACATAAACCCAAAGGGGTACATTTATCTTCCGAGGGTGACCATTCTTTAGTCCAGTATCCTTGAGGATCCAACAGGCGATAATATAATCGTAATATACCATCAACTTCAATTCTCACGAGGTAGATAGTTCTTGTTTGATATCTTCCTGTTGTTATATTCCTTATAATGGTGCTTCCATTGAACAAATAAAGATGGCCATCATTATCAAGAATCAATGATACATTATCGACTCTTCCATAGGTACCTGATGAATAATAAGCATAATTGGGTCCGTCCATTTGCACAGGGTATTGCACCAGGTTCCCATCAGTTTGCATCGCAAGACGGAAAATCCCTCTAGCAGGGTTTGTTTTCGAAGCACTGGAGACGAGATCTTCCCCAGCTGGGAGACATTGGCCGGGCAAAAGAGTGTCGGTTGGGTGATCAAAACTCTGCCATCTAATCCTCCGGGAGGAATCGTACAGCATGAAATTGCCATTGTCAAGCATTGAAGCTGAAGCAACAGACTGGGCAGGAATCGCAGGATCCGCAATATTTACGTCATCTCTATCTTCCTGCTGCAAAATGAGCCTTCCATAACCGGTTAATAACAGAATGGCGTTGCTGGAAAAAACTGGATCATCCCTGTTGGCTGTCCACACTACAGTTTTTTCTGGAATCCTAGCAATAAAAATTCCAACAGCATAGCCATTGGTTAGCTTGTAGAATCCAAAGGCATAAAGTCCAGAAGGTGACAACCATGACGAATTTGTACTGGGTGTTAAAGAAGAGCCAAGGAAAATACTGGAATATCTTTGTTGCTGTGCTCATGCTACAATTAATGCACAAAGAATGAGAAAACAGGGAAAAACAGCCATGGAGGACAGATTTTCCATTTTTCTTGGGATTTGGCTTCTTTGTTTCATTGAGGAAGGAAATAGGTGCTATTTGAAGAACTCAGTATTCTTTCTGGCCTAATACTGACTCTTTGCAGTCAATGCTCAACTTCTGATTTTTGTGCAGTCAATACACAATTCAATTTCAGAAAAGTGGGTTCATCTAGTCTAGAACTTGAGTTTTCTCAAGTGTTTTGGTTCTCATTTTGGTGAATAACTATGTTTTGACATTAAACATTATTTAGAATTGGTCTAGATCTTGGGGAGAAAGAAAAAGTTTATTCTGTGTTTTGGAGGGAGAAAGAAAAAGTTGTCCTGTGTTCAGTAAATTTTTTTTTTTTTTTGT